TTGTCCGGGGTTCTGGAGATGCTGTGATTCCATGTATTTTGTGATCTTACTTCTTAGCACTCTCTCCAAAAATGTTTATGATGTGCGATGTTAGTGCTATCGATCTGTAATTTTTTGCCTCTGCCTTATTTCCACCTTTATGAGGAATCACAATACATTCACCTCTATCACCACACATCCATCACTATCACCACACATCAATCACTATCACAATACATTCATCACTATCACCACACATCCATCACTATCATCATAAATTCACCACTTTCACCACACATCCATCACTATCACTACACATCCATCACTATCACCACACATCCATCACAATCACAATACATTCACCACTATCACCACACATCCATCACTATCACAATACATCCACCACTATTACCACACATCAATCACTATCACCACACATCCATCACTATCACAACACATCCATCACAATCACCACACTTGCATCACAAACACCACACATCCATCACTATCACCACACATGTATCACTATCACCACACATCCATCACTACCACCACACATGCATCACTATCACCACACATCCATCACTATCACCACACATCCATCACTATCACCACACATCCATCAATATCACCACACACCCGGTCGGTGTGAGCCGGTCGGCCAGTCGGTGGGAGACGGTCGGCCGAGCGGACAGCACGCTGGACTTATGATCATTTGGTCCTGTGTTCGATCCCAGGCGCCGGCGAGAAACAATGGGTAGAGTTTCTTTCACCTTATGCCCCTGTTACCTAGCAGTAAAATAGGTACCTGGATGTTAGTCAGCTGTCACGGGCTGCTTGCTGGGGGTGGAGGCCTGGTCGAGGACCAGGCCGCGGGGACACTAAAAAGCACCGAAATCATCTCAAGATTACCACCCATCACTATCACCACACATCCATCACTATCACCAAACATGCACCACTATCACCACACATGCATCACTATCACCACACATTCATCACTATCACCACACATCTATCACTATCACGACACATGCATCACTATCACCACACATTATGAGAAGGATTAAGACAGAGGAGGACAGCTTGAGGCTTCAAGAAGACCTGGACAAGCTGCAGGAATGGTCGAACAAATGAATGTTAGAGTTTAACCCAAGCAAATGTAAGGTAATGCAGATTGGAGTAGGAAGCAGGAGACCAGATACAAGGTATCACTTGGGAGATGAAATACTTCAAGAGTCAGAGAGAGAGAGAAAGACCTGGGGGTTAATATCACGCCAGACCTGTCCCCTGAAGCTCATATCAAGAGGATAACATCAGCAGCATATGCCAGGTTGGCTAACATAAGAACGGCCTTTAGAAACTTGTGTAAGGAATCTTTCAGAACATTATATACCACATATGACAGACCAATCCTGGAGTATGCGGCTCCAGCATGGAGTCCATATCTAGTCAAGCATAAGACTAAACTGGAAAAGGTTCAAAGGTTTGCCACCAGACTAGTACCCGAGCTGAGAGGTATGAGCTACGAGGAGAGACTACGGGAATTGAACCTCACTTCGTTGGAAGACAGAAGAGTTAGGGGGGACATGATCACCACATTCAAGATTCTCAAGGGAATCGACAGGGTTGATAAAGACAGGCTATTTAACACAAGGGGAACACACACAAGGGGACACAGGTGGAAACTGAGTGCCCAAATGAGCCACAGAGATATTAGAAAGAACTTTTTTAGTGTCAGAGTGCTTGACAAATGGAATGTATTAGGAAGCAATGTGGTGGAGGCTGACTCCATACACAGTTTCAAGTGTAGATATGATAGAGCCTAATAGGCTCAGGAACCTGTACACCTGTTAATTGACGGTTGAGAGGCGGGACCAAAGAGCCAGAGCTCAACCCCCGCAAGCACAACTAGGTGAGTACAACTAGGTGAGTACATGCACTACTATCACCACACATCCATCACTATCACCACACATGCATCACTATCACCATACATGCATCACTATCACCACACATCTATCACTATCACCACACATCCACCACTATCACCACACATCTATCACTATCACCACACATGCATCACTATCACCACACATCCATCACTATCACCACACATGCATCACTATCACCACACATCCATCACTATCACCACACATGCACTACTATCACCACACATACATCACTATCACCACACGTGCACCACTATCACCACACATGCATCACTATCACCACACATCCATCACTATTATTACACATCTATCACTATCACCACACATCCATCACTCTCACCACACATCCACTACTATCCCCACACATCCATCACTATCACCATACATCCACTATTGTCACTACAAATCCACCACTATCACCACCTTACCTTTAGGTTACCCTGAGGTGCTTCCGGGACTTAGCGTCCCCGCGGCCCGGTCATCGACCAGGCCTCCTGGTTGCTGGACTGATCAACCAGGTTGTTGGATGCGGCTGCTCGGAGCCTGACGTATGAGTCACAGCCTGTTTGATCAGGTATCCTTTGGAGGTGCTTATCCAGTTCTCTCTTGAACACTGTGAGGGGTCCGCCGGTTATGCCTCTTATGTGTAGTGGAAGCGTGTTGAACAGTCTCGGGCCTCTGATATTGATAGAGTTCTCTCTCAGAGTACCTGTTGCACCTCTGCTTTTCAACGGGGGTATTCTGCACATCCTTACATGTCTCCTGGTCTCATGTGACGTTATTTCTGTGTGCAGGAAGCCAGCCCCTCAATTATTTTCCACGTATAGATTATTATGTATCTCTCCCGCCTGCGCTCAAGGTTGTTATTGTTGTTAAAGATTCACTACCTGAAACAAAAAGTTCCAGGTAACACGGGCTATGGTGAGCCGTAGTGCCTTCTGCGCTCAAGGGAATACAGATTTAGGCACTTTAGTCGGTCCCAGTAGTTTAGATGTTTTACTAATTGGATTCTAGCAGTAAAGGTCCCTGCACGCTCTCCAGGTCAGCCATTTCTCCAGCTCTGAAAGGGGCTGTCATTGTGCAGCAGTACTCCACTCTAGAGAGCACAAGCGTTTTGAAAAGTATCATCATCGGTACAGCATCTCTAGTGTGAAAAGTTCTTGTTATCCAACCTGTCATTTTTCTTGCAGTTGTGACGGCTACTTTATTGTGTTCTTTAAAGGTAAGGTCTTCCGACATGAGTACACCCAGATCCTTTACATTGCCTTTTCGTTCTATGTTATGATTTGCCTGAGTTTTGTACGTGGTTTCCGTTTTTATATTTTAATTTTTTTTCCGTAGCGCATGAGCGCACATCCATCACTATCACCACACATCCATTACTATCACCACATCCATCACTATCACCACACATCCATCACTATCACCAGACATCCACCACCTTTACCACTTATGCATCACTATCACTACACATCCATTACTATCACCACACATCCACCACTATCACAACACATCCACCACTATCATCACACATCCATCACTATCACCACACATCCACCACTATCACCACACTTCAATCACTATCACCACACATCCACCACTATCACCACACATCCATCACAATCACCACACATTCATCACTATCACCACACATCCACCACTATCACCACACATCTACCACTATCACCACACATCCACCACTATCACCACACATCCACCACTATCACCACACATCCATCACTATCACCACACATCCATCACTATCACCACACATCCATCACTATCACCACACATCCATCACTATCACCACACATCTACCACTATCACCACACATCCATCACTATCACCACACATCCATCACTATCACCACACATCCATCACTATCACCACACATCCTTCACTATCACCACACATCCATCACTATCACCACACATCCACCACTATCACCACACATCCATCACTATCACCACACATCCACCACTATCACCACACATCTATCACTATCACCACACATCCATCACTATCACCACACATCCATAACTATCACCACACATGCCTCACTATCACCACACATCCATCACTATCACCACACATCCATCACTATCACCACACATCCATCACTATCACCACACATCCATCACTATCACCACACATGCCTCACTATCACCACACATCCATCACTATCACCACACATCCATCACTATCACCACACATCCATCACTATCACCACACATCCATCACTATCACCACACATCCACCACTATCACCACACATCCATCACTATCACCACACATCTATCAATATCACAACACATCCACCTCTATCACAACACATTCATCACTATCACCACACATCCATCACTATCACCACACATCCATCACTATCACCACACATCCATCACTATCACCACACATCCACCACTATCACCACACATCCACCACTATCACCACACATCCATCACTATCACCACACATCCATCACTATCACCACACATCCACCACTATCACCACACATCCATCACTATCACCACACATACATCACTATCACCACACATCCACCACTATCACCATCACCAAACATTTGCCTCTCTGTTAACGTCACAAAATATGGTGTACAATAAGGGATGAGGACACCAGGGGGCTGGAAGAGGACCGCAGCTGTTCACAACCACCTGGGACACAAGCAGGTCACCTCGGAAACATTTAGTGTAGAGATCTTCAGTAATAATAATGCTACCAGCGATCAGCCGGACAATGTTGAAATGAAAATGTCTGAATGCGTTCTTAATTTAATAAGAATTTTAACCAAGAATTTTACGCATAACTTTACGATATAAAGAACTAGGATCCTGGAATTTATTTTTTTGATGTGGTGTGTATAATACATGTAGTGTATTACTTCAGCTGTATCCTGCACTTCTTATGTTCCACTCTGGTCTCCGATCTGTAGTATAGAAAGAGGTTCACAAGAGCGCGTACAGATACGGATGATGAAGTTAATCCTAGGAATTAGACGGCTTCCTAATGAAGCGGATTTGCTCGCCATTCTTTACAAAATACGTTTTGATGAATGGCAGCAGCAGCATACGGCTTTAAAAGTCAACGACAGACAGAGAAGGCAACGACCGACAGGCAAAGCAACGACCGATGGACAAGGCAACGACCGACAGGCAAAGCAACGACCGACAGGCAAGGCAACGACCTACATGTAAGGCAACGACCGACGGGCAAGGCAACGACCGACAGGCAAGGCAACGACCGAGAGACAAGGCAACGACCGACGGACAAGGCAACGACCGACAGGCAAGGCAACGACCGAGAGACAAGGCAACGACCGACGGACAAGGCAACGACCGACGGACAAGGCAACGACCGACGGACAAGGCAACGACCGACAGGCAAGGCAACGACTGACGGACAAGGCAACGACCTACAGACAAGGCAACGACCTACATGTAAGGCAACGACTGACGGACAAGGCAACGACCTACAGACAAGGCAACGACCGACGGACAAGGCAACGACCTACAGACAAGGCAACGACCGACGGACAAGGCAACGACCTACAGACAAGGCAACGACCTACAGACAAGGCAACGACCTACAGACAAGGCAACGACCTACATACAAGGCAACGACCTACAGACAAGGCAACGACCTACAGACAAGGCAACGACCTACAGACAAGGCAACGACCTACAGACAAGGCAACGACCTACAGATAAGGCAACGACTGACGGACAAGGCAACGACCTACAGACAAGGCAACGACCTACAGACAAGGCAACGACCTACAGGCAAGGCAACGACTGACGGACAAGGCAACGACCTACATGTAAGGCAACGACTGACGGACAAGGCAACGACCTACAGGCAAGGCAACGACCTACAGGCAAGGCAACGACCTACATGTAAGGCAACGACCAACAGACAAGGCAACGACCAACAAACAAGGCAACGGCCAACAGACAAGGCAACGACCGACATGTAAGGCAACGACCGACGGACAAGGCAACGACCTACATGTAAGGCAACGACCTACAGACAAGGCAACGAACTACAGACAAGGCAACGACCTACAGACAAGGCAACGACCAACAGACAAGGCAACGACCAACAAACAAGGCAACGACCAACAGACAAGGCAACGACCGACATGTAAGGCAACGACCGACGGACAAGGCAACGACCGACGGACAAGGCAACGACCAACAGACAAGGCAACGACCAACAGACAAGGCAACGACCTACATGTAAGGCAACGACCTACAGGCAAGGCAACGACCTACATGTAAGGCAACGACCAACAAACAAGGCAACGACCAACAGACAAGGCAACGACCGACATGTAAGGCAACGACTTAAAGGCAAGGCAACGACCTACATGTAAGGCAACGACCGACGGGCAAGGCAACGACCAACAGACAAGGCAACGACCAACAGACAAGGCAACGACCTACATGTAAGGCAACGACCGACAGGCAAGGCAACGACCTACATGTAAGGCAACGACTGACGGGCAAGGCAACGACCAACAGACAAGGCAACGACCAACAGACAAGGCAACGACTTACATGTAAGGCAACGACAGACAGGCAAGGCAACGACCTACATGTAAGGCAACGACCGACGGGCAAGGCAACGACCTACAGACAAGGCAACGACCGACAGGCAAGGCAACGACCGACAGACAAGGCAACGACCGACAGGCAAGGCAACGACCGACAGACAAGGCAACGACCGACAGGCAAGGCAACGACCGACAGACAAGGCAACGACCGACAGGCAAGGCAACGACCTACATGTAAGGCAACGACCGACGGACAAAGCAACGACCAACAAACAAGGCAACGACCAACAAACAAGACAACGACCGACAGACATGACAACGACCGACAAACAAGGCAACGACCGAGAGACAAGACAACGACCAACAAACAAGGCAACGACCGACAGACAAGGCAACGACCGAGAGACAAGACAACGACCAACAAACAAGGCAACGACCAACAAACAAGGCAACGACCGACAGGCAAGACAACTACCGACAGATAAAGCAACAAAGGCAGCCTCAGTAAAGGAATTAGGGAAGCGAATTTTAGTTGTTGGCGAATCCCAGGTGAGTCATTTGGATACAACTTTATGTGCCAGAGATAATGGGATCAGGTTAAGGGTTTTCTATCTGGGAGCAGGAGTAAGGGATATTGTTAAAACCTGGAATGGAATTATGTCTGTAAATGGGAACAAACGCATTATTTGTATCAGTGCATTTGGAAATTATGTAGAACGAGTTTGGAGTGAGTCACTGATACAGAGGTTTAAGACAGCCTTAGAATTAGTTAGGAGCAAGGGAAGAATCCTGATCATATGTGGCAGTCTTCCAAGAAAGGGTGTTGGAAATGATGGTTGTCGAGGTCACTTGGTGTCAATTCCCGACTGGACAAATATTGTAAATCAAATGCAATATCATTCATTGATAACTGGGAACACTTCTGTGGAAGGAATGACACGTATGCTCGGGATGGAGTGCATTTATCTAGGGCTGGGGTTGTTGTTGTTGCCAACTCGTTGGAACCTGTGGTCGGAGGGGTTTGTTTGGGTTAAACTGTTAGTAGATGCAGAATGCATAGTAGATTATGGTGCAGAAATGGATATGGGGAAAGGAGGGATTAAAAGTTTGAGATGGTGGAAGGGGAGGGGATGGGAATTGGAAAAAGAACATGGAAGGAGAAGGGCCTCAAAATAGCAGTACACATAAGGTATATTACACGAACAGTAGGAGTCTAAGAAATAAAATAATCGACTTAAATGCTTTTGTCTGCACAGAAACAATAGATATTATTGCACGTCCAGAAACAGGGATAACTATAGAAAAAAGGGAACTATTATCTGAATATCACATATATGTATATAAACTATTTCGTACGGATAAACATACAAGACGAGGAGGGGAAGTAGCCATACATGTAAGGGAAAATTTAAAATGTAGTGTGAACGAGGGAATAAAAACTGAGCGACGCAAAAGAAACAATCTAATTACAATTGATTAAAAAGGTAATAATCAAATAATAGGAGTTGTATACAGACCACCAAATTAATATTAATGGGAGCAAAGCATCTATGGGATGAAATATCTAGAGTATCTAGGTTTAACATAATTTGTCATGGCTACTAGAATGTTAATGGAGTATACTGGCTTAGCAAATCAGGGAATACCGAAACAGAAGATATTTTTTTTAGTTAATTGACGATTGCTTCCTTAAGCAATACATTAAGGAGCCATTGCGGGAAAATAATATTTTAGACAAATATTTTAGTGTTAACTAACATGGAAACACAAATTGATGACAATGAAATAAGGAGTAAGCTAAGGAACAGTGTTCACTAGGAAAACACATTTATCATAGATTGGAATAGAAGTGTAAGAACTGTGTCACTGTGCCAGATTTCCGAAAAAATTATTTTAATGAGCAAAGAAATTTCTTGGGTAGGATAGACTGGACAATCCTGGGCTCGGTGGTGGGGGGGGGGGAGGTCTTGGAGCGAGACATGAACTAACGATGGCTAACGCAACAAGGAAGTTCGATGTACATTCAAAACATAAGTAATTTAATCGTATTCTAGGCAGGACCTGGTAACGTAGTATCCCATACAAGTTTATTAGATTGAATAATAATGATCCTAAATGGATAAGTATACATCTGAGGAACCTTATCTATATAAACAAAAATGGAAATGTTCGTTTGTGCATAACCGCTAATCTCCGAAAGTTCTTCACTGATTGTTTTGAAATTTTCACACAACGTTCCACTCTCATCCGAGCAGGTTTTTATACACATACTATATAGATGTCACGTCTGTGACGGTAAAAAAAAAAACATGTTTTTTCTGAAAAACTATGTTTTCAGAAAAAGGAAAACCCATGGAAACCCAAAGGAAACCCCCCCCCCCCACACACACAGGTTGAACAGGTTGCAGAGATGGTCAGGGAAATGGCTACTGGAGTTCAACACCAGTAAATGTAAAGTTGTGGAAATGGGATCAGGTGATAGACGACCAAAGGGACAGTACACAATGAAGGGGAACTGCCTACCTGTAACGATTCGATAAAGAGACCTGGGAGTGGATGTGACACCTAATCTAACTCCTGAGTCACATATAAATAGGATAACGACAGCAGCGTACTCTACACTGGCGAAAATTATAACTTCATTCAGAAACCTAAGTGAGGAGGCTTTTAGGGCGTTTACACTGCCTACGTGAGACCAGTCTTAGAGTTTGCCGCACCATCATGGAGCCCCCACCTGAAGAAACACATAAAGAAACTGGAGAAGGTTCAGAGGTTTGCGACGAGGCTTGTCCCAGAGTTACGAGGGATGGGATATGAAGAACGTCTGAGGGAACTGAACCTTACGACACAAGAGAAAAGAAGGGAGAGAGGAGATATGAGAGGAACATATAAAATACTCAGGGGAATTGACAAAGCGGAAATAGATGAAATGTTCACACGTAATAATAACAGAACGAGGGGACAGGGGTGGAAACTGGAAACTCAGATGAGTCACAGATATGTTAGGAAGCTGTCTTTAAGCGTGAGAGTAGTGGAAAAATGGAATGTACTTGGGGAACAGGTTGTGGAAGCAAACTCTATTCATAATTTTAAAATTAGGTATGATAGGGAAATGGGGCAGGAGTCATTGCTGTAAACAACCGATGGCTGGAAAGGTGGGATCCAAGAGCCAATGCTCGATCCTGCAAGCACAAATAGGTGAGTACAAATAGGTGAGTACACACACAAACACACACAGGGGACACAGGTGGAAACTTAGTACCCAGATGAGCCACAGAGACGTTAGAAAGAATTTTTTCAGTGTCAGAGTAGTTAATAAATGGAATGCACTAGGAAGTGATGTGGTGGAGGCTGACTCCATACACAGTTTCAAATGTAGGTATGATAGAGCCCAGTAGGCTCAGGAATCTGTACACCAGTTGATTGACAGTTGAGAGGCGGGACCAAAGAGCCAAAGCTCAACCCCCGCAAGCACAATTAGGTGAGTACAATTAGGTGAGTACACACACACACACACACACACACACACACACACACACACACACACACACACACACACACACACACACACACACACACACACGCACACACATTTGGATGTTTAGAGAAGGAAATTTCTTCTAGGGTAGAGTGAGCAACAGAAGAGATGAAAATCATAGAAAAAATAATAGGTTTAGGCGAAGGCCTAAATTCAAAGGAGCATAGTGATTTTAGCAGGATAGGTAAATATGAGAAAGACAAGGACCGCCCCTTAAGGGTGATGTTTAATGGAGTGAAGCATATGACAGAAGTACTTTGGAATGCCAGAAAATTACAATGTGACGAAAATGGAAAACTTTTTCTACAAAGTGTGAGGGACTGGAAAGCTTGTGAAATGGTACATAAAGACAAAGCAATACAATCATTAAAGGAAGGGGTGTAAAGATCAAAGGGAATGAGAACATGTTCCTGAAAATAGTATATACCAACATAGATGGAGTGAGATCGAAAATATTGGAGTTGAAGGATATAATTAAACTCAAAGTCCCAGATATTGTCACATTAACAGAGACGAAACTTGAAAAAAATAGTTTAAATGAAGTCGTATTCCCAAGGAGCTACTCAGTTTGGAGACGTGACAAGAAAACTAGGAAGGGAGAAGGAGTGGCTGTGCTGGTGAAAGAACACCTGAAGGCAAGAAAGTTAATAATTGAAAACCCTTGAGATATTGACATAATGGTATTGCAGATCTGGAATCAAGATGATAAGCTGATAATTTTAAATGCTTACAGCCCACCAGCAAGCAACATATGGACAAAGGAAGAACTGAATGACAAACGAGAGGGCCTCATAATGGTCATGAGAGAGATTATGGTAAGAGCTGACAAAGATAAATCCCGATTGTTGGTACTGGGGGACTTCAACTTTAAGGCAATAGACTG